CGAGAGGCTCCTCCGCCCCCGTTGGACATTGAGGGGGCTCCGGCGTACTCAATCCGTTCCATCTTGGATTCGAGACGTCGGACGGGGGGCCTGCAGTATCTCGTGGAGTGGGAGGGGTACGGTCCGGAGGAACGGTGCTGTGTCCCCAGGAGGGACATTCTAGATCCATCCATGTTGAGGGACTTCCACCGGAGTCATCCGACTCGCCCTGCTCCGCATCCTCCTGGCCGTCCCCGAGGCCGGGGTCGGCGCACGGCTGGAGCCGCACGTCAAGGGGGGGGTACTGTCACAGATTCTGCCGAGGCTGCTCCTCCTCCTTGCTTGGGCAGGTTTTGGCGTTCGTCGTCCCCGGAGTACTAGCTGCCACGATCTATGTTTCGGTGTTTGACTTGTTTGGTCCTGATTGTGTACACCTGTTCCCCATTATGTTGTATTGTTTCCCCTATTTAACCCTCTGTCGTGCATTGTGTGTTGTGTGTTATTGTATCCGTCTTCGGCGGTGTTAGTGTGCGGGTTGTTTTCCTCCTTGTATGGAGATGGTTTTCGTCTCTGAATACTTTCTAGTAAAGTATGTTTCCAGTAAGCTCTGTGTCCTGCGTTTGACTTCGCCTACCGCATTTCACCGTCGCCTTCTGACAGTCATCTTGAGCAGCGGGGGCCCACGTAGGAGGATCAAAGTTGTTTACCTCGAAGCAAGCATAAAAGGTATTTTACTTGTCTGGGAGAGAGGCATCGGTGCTAGCCATGCAGCTGGTTTTCCCTTTATAATCCGTGATTGTTTGCAGCCCTTGCCAAAAATAGATCAATATTCTGAAGAAGTGCATTCGTTTCTCCTTTACTTCTTAAAAACTATTTGACTACAGTTATGTTCTCCATGTGGTAGGCTGTTTGAGATCAAGTTTGCAGATACTGTATATTGATGACATAACCTGCTGGCCTTCATAATAAGGAGCTAGGCATAAACTATGCATTGCACTCTGGTCTTTCTTATTTATTGCCTATTATAAACTGGGTGGTTCAAGCTCTGAATGCTGATTGGCTGACAGCCGTGATATATCAGACCTAATACCACGGTTATGACAAAACATGTATTTTTACTGCTCTAATTACGTTGGTAACCAGTTTATAATAGCAATAATAATATTTGAGTAGCCTACCTAAATTCAATAAGAGCATTAGCATCAATTGCTTCCTAAAGCATTCTGCTCAATAGCCTATTCACAATAAGTTATAATGACTGATTTTATTGTATGTGTTGTGATTAATTAAGGACTTTATGGATGTTTAGTTGCTAATTGTTTACCTCACATGTTGGTTTAAATGTTGACAATATTGTTATACAAATATGACCACTGTGATTATTATTTGACCCTGCTGGTCATCTATGAACATTTGAACATCTTGGAGAAAAATCTGGCCTTAATGGCCATGTCCTGTTATAATCTCCACCCGGCACAGCCAGAAGGCGACAGAGCCTGGTTCCTCTCTAGGTTTCTTCCTAGGTTTCTGCCTTTCTAGGGAGTTTTTCCTAGCCACCGTGCTTCTACATCTGCATTGCTTGCTGTTTTGGGTTTCTGTATAGCACTTTGTGACATCTGCTGTGTCACACCCTGGCTCTGGGGACTCTATATGTTGAGCCAGGGTGTGTAGATTCTATGTATTCTAGGTCTGTGTTGTAGGTCTATGTGTTCTATTTCTATGTTGGCCAGTGTGGTTCTCAATCAGAGGCAACGAGTGTCAGCTGTGGCTGGTTGTCTCTGATTGGGAACCATATTTAAACAGTCTGTTTTCCATTCGTGGTTGTGGGATCTTGTTTCCGTTTGGTTTGTGTCTGTGTTAAACCGTAGGACTGCACGTTTCGTTTATTGTTTTATTATCACTATAGATAATAAAGTTAATTATGTTTGCAACTAACGCTGCGCATTGGTCTACTCCGTTCGACGTTCGTGACAGAAGATCCCACCATACCAGGACCAAGCAGCGTGTCCAGGAGCAGGCAGCCTGGACGTGGGAGCAGATCTTGGACGGGCAGGGGTCCTGGACCTGGGAGGAAATCCAGGCCGGGATGGATCGCCGTCCATGGAGGGAGACGGTAGAGGCGCGACGTAGAGAGGAGCAACGGCGTAAACAGTGTCGTCGTCGGTCGGACGAGAGGCAACCCCAAAAATGTTTTAGGGGGGGGCACACGGCATGGGCGACTGGGCAGCAGGAGGCTGCCACAGGGCGATTTGGGAGATTTGGAGAGGAGGCCACCGGGTTTGGGGGGCCAGAAGGCAGGTTGGCGGAGCCTGGATGGAGAGCAGAGCCAACTCCCCGTACTCAGGCATGGCAGCATGGGACTGGGCAGGTTCCGCGGTATGCGGAGCTGCGTACTGTGCCACGAGTGGTCCGGCATAGTCCGGTACGTCCTGTGCGAGCACCCCGCACGTGTCGTGCGAAGGTGGGCATGCAGCCAGGACGGAGTGTGCCGGCTCAGCGCTCGTGGTCTCCAGTGCCTCTCCTCAGTCCCGGATATCCTGCGCCAGTGTCACGTGCTGTTATGCCAGTACGGGTACACAGCCCTGTACGTCCTGTGCGGATGCCTCACACAGAGTGTGTGAAGGTAGGCATTCAGCCAGGACGGGTTGTGGCCGCTCTTCACTCCAGGCCTCCTATCCGTCTCCACAGCCCGGCCCGGCCTGTTCCTGGCCCTCGCACCAAGCCTACGGTGCGCGTCGCCAGCCCGGCCCGGCCTGTTCCTGCCACTCGCACCAAGCCTACGGTGCGCGTCGCCAGCCCGGCCCGGCCTGTTCCTGCCACTCGCACCAAGCCAGGGGTGCGCGTCGCCAGCCCGGCCCGGCCTGTTCCTGCCACTCGCACCAAGCCTACGGTGCGCGTCGCCAGCCCGGCCCGGCCTGTTCCTGCCACTCGCACCAAGCCTACGGTGCGCGTCGCCAGCCCGGCCCGGCCTGTTCCTGCCACTCGCACCAAGCCTACGGTGCGCGTCGCCAGCCCGGCCCGGCCTGTTCCTGCCACTCGCACCAAGCCTACGGTGCGCGTCGCCAGCCCGGCCCGGCCTGTTCCTGCCACTCGCACCAAGCCAGGGGTGCGAGTCGTCAGCCCGGCCCGGCCTGTTCCTGCCACTCGCACCAAGCCAGGGGTGCGAGTCGTCAGCCCGGTAAGGCCCGTTGCTGCTCCACGCACCAAACCAGGGGTGCGCATCGTCAGCCCGGTCCGGCCCGTTCCTGCTCCACGCACCAAGCCAAGGGTGCGCATCGTCAGTCCGGTCCGTTCCTGCTCCACGCACCAAGCCAGGGATGTGTGTCGTCAGTCCGGTCCGGCCCGTTCCTGCTCCACGCACCAAGCCAGGGGTGTGCATCGTCAGTCCGGCACAACCCGTGCCTGGGTCACCGGTGCCTGGTCAGGTACCCGTCAGCTGTTCCACACCGGAGCTGAAGCAATCCGCTCCTACGATGTCCAGTCCAGCTCCAGCCAGCGGGGCCAGACCGGACCAGGGGCGCTACGGGGGGAGTATTGAAGGGTGGTGGTCAAGCCCGGAGCCGGAACCGCCTCCGAGGAGGAATGCCCACCCAGCCCTCCCCTGGTTTGTCTATGTTGAGGGGGGGGGGGGTACTGTCACACCCTGGCTCTGGGGACTCTATATGTTGAGCCAGGGTGTGTAGATTCTATGTATTCTAGGTCTGTGTTGTAGGTCTATGTGTTCTATTTCTATGTTGGCCAGTGTGGTTCTCAATCAGAGGCAACGAGTGTCAGCTGTGGCTGGTTGTCTCTGATTGGGAACCATATTTAAACAGTCTGTTTTCCATTCGTGTTTGTGGGATCTTGTTTCCGTTTGGTTTGTGTCTGTGTTAAACCGTAGGACTGCACGTTTCGTTTATTGTTTTGTTGTTTTATTATCACTATAGATAATAAAGTTAATTATGTTTGCAACTAACGCTGCGCATTGGTCTACTCCGTTCGACGTTCGTGACATGCTGATGTAAAAAAGGCTTTATAAATATAATTTGATTGATATGATAAATATTAACCAATTTCTCCTCTCATTATTAAGCCACACCATCCTTGGTTTTAGGGTGACACGCTTTTGCAATAGCCTATAAGCTTTTGTTCATGTGTTTGGGGGTGTGTTCCTCTTTCTGTCCATTGAGATAATTTCAGGACAATATTTATGTCCATTTAATCATTTTTGTCTTCTTCTGTTACTACATTTTAATCATTTTTATTTAACCTTTATTTAACCAGGTAAGCCAGTTGAGAACAAGTTCTCATTTACAACTGCGACCTGGCCAAGATAAAGCAAAGCAGTGTGATAAAAACAACAACACAGAGTTACATATGGTTACATATGGGGTAAACAAAACATAAAGTCAAAAATACAACAGAAAATATATATACAGTGTGTGCGAATGTAGTAAGTTATGGAGGTAAGGCAATAAACAGGCCATAGTGCAAAATAGTTACACTTTCGTATTAACACTGGAATGATAGATGTGCAAAAGATGATGTGCAAATAGAGATACTGGGGTGCAAAATTAGCAAAATAAATAACAATATGGGGATGAGGTAGTTTAGCAGACGCTCTTATCCAGTGCATACATTTTCATACTGGCCCCCCGTGGGAAACAAACCCACAACCCTGGCGTTGCAAGCGCCATGCTCTACCAACTGAGCTACACGGGGCCCCATAGTATACTAACCATATACTATGTCATACATAATGTGTGATGATGGCTTTTAGTTTATTTTGTTACTTCTCTTGTATTTCTTCTATTGCCACACAAGGGGTGTTTGTGACTTTGTGACTTTTTGATTGCCTGTGCTTCGTAATATGAATAATACATCATATTTTAAAAAGTGAATTACAGTTTTCTATCCATCACATAAAGAAGATACATTTTAGACTTTCCTAAAATCTTGCAATTGGTTCAGTTCAATGGGCTCTGTTCAATGGGCTCAGTGCAGTATTTAGGTACAAAGAAACAAATATGAGAAACAACACGTTAAATGATAAACCGTTGCATTTATTGCATCAAAGTTTAATTTTAAATTTTTATGAGATGGTTATGCCCATTTGATGGGTTTGACTCCTCTGTGTTTGTGTGTATCTCTCTCCATGAAGTTGACAATTGGTCATCACTTTTGTCCCCCCTCATTTCCTTAGGGTTTCAGTTCATCCATAGCGTCTTGGAGCCTGGAATAGAAAAAATAGGTATTAAAACATGGGACTGAGTAGCGCAGTGGTCTAAGGCACTGCATCTCAGTGCTTGAGGCGTCTCTACAGACCCCCTGGTTCGATTCCAGGCTGTATCTCAACTGGCTGTGATTGGGAGTCCCGTAGGGCGGCGCTCAATTGGCCCAGCGTCGTCCGTGTTTGGCTGGTGTAGGCAGTCATTGTAAAGAACTTGTTCTTAACTGACTTGCCTAGTAAAATAAATTAAAAACATTCATTAACAGGACAAATAATCTGGCTATACCTGGTTTATACTGTAGATGGTGCCAAACTACCTCAAGTATTGTGTTTCACACATACTAGGCCTTCTTGCTGCAGATGTGTCCAAAATTATTTTGTGTTTCTGCCATTTCACTTTGTCACAATTTCCAAGTATTTGACTCATGGTAAGTGTCACCCCACCTCACCATCTCATTATATCCTCTTTCAACTCCCTAGATTTTATTTGATCCACGCCTATTGTGGTAGTTGAGCTTGAAGCATAGCTGTGATTGAATCAGGAATTTGACCCTCTACTCTTTGTTCTTATTCTTGCCTGATAACACTGATTAAAACATGTATTTAATCTCAGTCAGCTCAACCCTTCTCGGAGATAAGGGTGCGTCTCAATAGTCTAAAGTTGCTTCCTCTCATTTTCGCCTTCTTTCCTTCACTGATGTCAACGAACTGGATTGGTGGACATCTAACATCCACCTATCCATGTGTCTGTAAATCAGTGCACATGAAGAAAACAAATCAAGAAGAGAGGAAGCCACTTTAGGCTATTAAGATGCACCCCAATAGTCAGTCAATGGTCCAATCCCAAATCAACCTTCAAGCCCTTTGTCCCATGCACTTGTGGAGATCTGAGACGATTTGATTGGTATAACCAATATGATGAAACTTCCACCTGGCCTATCAAGGTGGAAGGTGGAGCTATGAACATAATGCTTATACCTATCCAATTGGTCTAAGGATCGATTTGGGATTAGGCCAATCTCCCTCATCCCCTCGTCCACTCACTTGAAGTCCCCTCCGTCGAGCAGGCTCCTGTAGGTGGCGATCTCGGCCTCCAGCTTCATTTTCATGTTGAGCAGCGCCTCATACTCCTGGCCCTGCTGCTGGATGTTGCCCCGCAGGTTGGTCAGCTCACTCTCCAGACGGATGAGGATGGCATTGTACTTCTCCACCTCCATGTTGGAACGCATCTCCACGTTACGCAAGGTGTCCTCCAAGGAGGATTTCTGTTGGGAATAACAGGGGAATTTTGGGAACATTGTTGAATAATATTGGGATTATTAGAATGTTGGAATTTGGGGATATGGAGGGTATGGCTAAGGTTTGGTGGTGGGCTTCAAAAGGATGCTGTACATCAGATGAGGCTGGTGGGCGGAGCTATAGGAGGACAGGCTCATTGTAATGACTGGAATGGAATAAACGGAATGGAGTCAAACGTGTTTTCCATTTGTTTGATACCGTTCCATTGATTCCATTCCAGCCATTACAATGAGCACATCCTCCTATATCTCCTCTCACCAGCCTCCTCTGTTGGACATAGAGGACATACTGGGGTTACTATCAGTTCCATCTCTGCTCTGAGGAATTTAGGAATTTAACTGAAATATGTTATCATCATATTGAAAGAATGTCCTTACCAAGCTCTGTTGAGACGCCAGCTCAATCTCGAGGGTCTGTAGCTGTCTATGTAGGTCGCTCATCTCGACCTGGGCCCCCTGCAGGGCCTCTGTGTTCTGGGATACCTGCACCTGCACGTCTGAGATCTATACCACAGCACAGAGGAAGGGAGATGGGAGGGAGGGAGAGAGGGAGAGAGGGAGAGAAGCTTAGTCAACTTGAGAGGTGAATTCATGTTTTGGAGTTCAGGCTTTTGTTGTGTGACTAGAGTACCCAGATATGATACTAGTTGTACAACAATTATTGGAGATCTACACTTTTTGCAAATACACATTTTTATATTGGCCTGTGGGTGTGAGGTAATCCATTTCAATTCCAATTGCGGTACAAAACCAGAGTATCATAGGCTTTATGTGGTGTGCAATATTAGAATGTATGAAGCAATGATAAGAACATATTCATTATTCTGTCCTTCTGAACACTGTGAAGATAGGATGGGCTAACCTGGTTTTCGTGCCACACTTTGAGGTCCTCTGTGTTCTTCAGAGCCATCTTCTCGTACTTGGCCCTCATCTCCTCCATGACCAGTGACAGGTCCTGACCCTTGGGGGCGTCCACGTCCACCTGCACCCCCGACTGAGTGATCTGGTTCCTCATCTCCATCACTTCCTGTTGGAGAGAGGGTATAAGGGAAGGTGGAGAGAGAGAGAGAGAGAGAGAGAGAGAGAGAGAGAGAGAGAGAGAGAGAGAGAGAGAGAGAGAGAGAGAGACAAAGACAAAAGAGAAATAGTAAGGCATTCCAAAATTAACCAACTGTGAAATGTGAAAAGTTCACAGCTAGTGATGAGGTTAGTCTGATATTGTTATCACGTTATCATCATTCTTCCTGGATTATGTTATTCTTAAATCTATTCTGAAAATGTTCTATTTCAAATGATTGTTTGACATGGACATTCAGTCTCAATCAGGGGAGAACAACTGCCACGTCTCATTGAAGCCATGAAGATAAAGACTGGGGTACTGCAGGCTGTTATTTCCGGAAAGCAGGATCCCCCATTATAGTGAATATTTGTATTTTTTATTTATTTTTTATTTAACCTTTATTTAACTAGGCAAGTCAGTTAAGAACAAATTCTTATTTACAATGACGGCCTACACCGGCCAAACCCGGACGACGCTGGGCCAATTGTGCGCCGCCCTGAATGGAAAAAGTATTAAACTGAATGTAAGTCGCTCTGGATAAGAGCGTCTGCTAAATGACGTAAATGTAAATGTAATGGGAAAATGTCAATCTTCTTTGGAAATATTCATGTAAAAAAATGTTTTTTAGAAGACAGTCATGTACCAATAATTGCTTCTATCACACCAGATGTATCCAATTATTTTAAAATACAGAAGAAGCTACCCTCCAGTTCCTCGACTTCTTGGCGCTGACGGAAACATGGATTACCACAGAAAACACTGCTACATTACATTTTAGTCATTTAGCAGACGCTCTTATCCAGAGCAACTTACAGTTAGTGAATACATATATTTTTTTAATACAGGCCCCCCGTGGGAATCGAACCCACAACCCTGGCATTGCAAACACCATGCTCTATCAACTGAGCTACATCCCTGCCAGCCATTCCCTCCCCTACCCTGGACGAATTGTGCGCCGCCCATGAGTCTCCCGGTCGCGGCCGGCTGCGACAGAGCCTGGATTCAAACCAGGATCTCTAGTGGCACAGTTTGCACTGCGATGCAGTGCCTTAGACCACTGTGCCACTCAGGAGACTACCTCGTCTGATCATGTGCTCTCGCATACCCCAAGAGCATCTGGTCAGCGCGGCGGTGGCACAGGAATCCTCATCTCTCCCAAGTGGACATTCTCTCTTTTCCCCCTGACCCATCCGTCTATCTCCTCATTTGAATTCCATGCTGTCACAGTCACTAGTCCATTCAAGCTTAACATCCTTATCATTTATCACCCTCCAGGTTCCCTTGGAGAGTTCATCAATGCGCTTGACGCCTTGATAAGTTCCTTTCCTGAGGATGGCTCACCCCTCACAGTTCTGGGTGACTCTGCCTCCTTCTTTCCACTCCTTTCCTCTTTTGACCTCACCCTCTCACCGTCCCCCCCTACTCACAAGGCAGGCAATACGCTTGACCTCATCTTTACTAGATGCTGTTCTTCTACTAATCTCACTGCAACTCCCCTCCAAGTTTCTGACCACTACTTTGTATCCTTTTCTCTCTCGCTCTCCTGCACCGGTACCCCCCTGTATATATAGCCTCCCTACTGTTATTTTATTTTACTTCTGCTCTTTTTTTCTCAACACTTTTTTTGTTGTTGTTTTATTTTTTTGTCAAAAATAAATGCACTGTTGGTTAAGGGCTGTAAGTAAGCATTTCACTGTAATGTCTGCACCTGTTGTATTCGGCGCATGTGACCAATAACATTTGATTTGATTTGATTTGAACACTACTCACTCTGCCCCTACTCAGATGGTAATGTGCCGTCGCAACCTTTTCTCTCTCTCTCCCGCTACTCTTCCATCCTATCATCTCTTCCCTCTGCGAAATCCTTCTCCCTCCGATCTCCTGATTCTGCCTCCTCAACCCTCCTCTCCTCCCTTTCTGCATCTTTTGACTCTCTATGTCCCCTATCCTCCCTGCCGGCTCGGTCCTCCCCTCCTGCTCTGTGGCTTGACGACTCATTGCGAGCTCACAGAACAGGGCTCCGGGCAGCCGAGCGGAAATGGAGGAAAACTAGACTCCCTGCAGACCTGTCATCTTTTCACTCCCTCCTCTCTACATTTTCTTCCTCTGTTTCTGCTGCTAAAGCCACTTTCTACCACTCTAAATTTCAAGCCTCTGCCTCTAACCCTAGGAAGCTCTTTGCCACCTTCTCCTCCCTGCTGAATCCTCCTCCTCCTCCTCCCCCTCCCTCCTCCCTCTCTGTGGGTGACTTCGTCAACCATTTTGAAAATAAGGTTGACGACATCCGATCCTCATTTATTAAGTCAAATGACACAGCTGGTCCTGCTCAGACTGCCCTACCCTATGCTTTGACTTCTTTCTCCCCTCTCTCTCCAGATGAAATCTTGCGACTTGTGACGGCCGGCCGCCCAACAACCTGCCCGCTTGACCCTATCCCCTCCTCTCTTCTCCAGACCATTTCCGGAGACCTTCTCCCTTACCTCACCTCGCTCATCAACTCATCCTTAACCGCTGGCTATGTCCCTTCCGTCTTCAAGAGAGCGAGAGTTGCACCCCTCCTCAAAAAACCTACACTTGATCCCTTCGATGTCAACAACTACAGACCAGTATCCCTTCTTTCTTTTCTCTCCAAAACTCTTGAGCGTGCAGTCTCTAGCCAACTCTCCTGCTATCTCTCTCAGAATGACCTTCTTGATCCAAACCAGTCAGGTTTCAAGACTGGTCATTCAACTGAGACTGCTCTTCTCTGTGTCACGGAGGCTCTCCGCACTGCTAAAGCTAACTCTCTCTCCTCTGCTCTTATCCTTCTAGACCTATCTGCTGCCTTTGATACTGTGAACCATCAGATCCTCCTCTCCACCCTCTCCGAGTTGGGCATCTCCGGCGCTGCTCACTCTTGGATTGCGTCCTACCTGACAGGTCGCTCCTACCAGGTGGCGTGGTGAGAATCTGTCTCCGCACCACGTGCTCTCACCACTGGTGTCCCCCAGGGCTCAGTTCTAGGCCCTCTCCTATTCTCTCTATACACTAAGTCACTTGGCTCTGTCATATCCTCACATGGTCTCTCCTATCATTGCTACGCAGACGACACACATTTAATTTTCTCCTTTCCCCCTTCTGATAACCAGGTGGTGAATCGCATCTCTGCATGTCTGGCAGACATATCAGTGTGGATGTCGGATCACCACCTCAAGCTGAACCTCGGCAAGACGGAGCTGCTCTTCCTCCCGGGGAAGGACTGCCCGCTCCATGATCTCGCCATCACGGTTGACAACTCCATTGTGTCCTCCTCCCAGAGTGCAAAGAACCTTAGCGTGACCCTGGCCAACACCCTGTCGTTCTCTGCTAACATCAAAGCGGTGACCAGATCCTGCAGGTTCATGCTCTACAATATTCGCAGAGTACGACCCTACCTTAGACAGAAAGCGGCACAGGTCCTAATCCAGGCACTTGTCTTCTCCCGTCTGGATTACTGCAACTCGCTGTTGGCTGGGCTCCCTGCCTGTGCCATTAAACCCCTACAACTTATCCAGAACGCTGCAGCCCGTCTGGTGTTCAACCTTCCCAAGTTCTCTCATGTCACCCCGCTCCTCCGCACACTCCACTGGCTTCCAGTTGAAGCTCGCATCTACTACAAAAACATGGTGCTTGCCTACGGAGCTGTGAGGGGAACGGCACCTCCTTACCTTCAGGTTCTGATCAGACCCTACACCCAAACGAGGGCACTACGTTCATCCACCTCTGGCCTGCTAACCCCCCTACCTCTACGTAAGCACAGTTCCCGCTCAGCCCAGTCAAAGCTATTCGCTGCTCTGGCACCCCAATGGTTGAACAAGCTCCCCTACGACGCCAGGACAGCGGAGTCACTGACCACGTTCCGGAGACACTTGAAACCCTACCTCTTTAAGGAATACCTGGAATAGTATAACAGTAATCCTTCTACCCCCCCCCCCCCCCCATTCCCCATCCCCCCATAAAAAAAAAAAAAAAGTGGTTGTCCCACCGGCTATCCTAAGTTGAATGCACCAAGTCGCTCTGGATAGGAGCGTCTGCTAAATAACTTAAATGTAAATGTAAAGTTATAAGGACAGTTATAGGCCTCCTGTAGCTCAGTTGGTAGAGCATGGCACTTGCAATGCCAGGGTTGTGGGTTCGATTCCCACGGGGGGCCAGTATGAACAGAAAAAAAGTATGAAAAATGTATGCACTCACTAGCTGTAAGTCACTCTGGATAAGAGCTTCTGCTAAATGACTAAAATGTAAATAATTAATTTGCTGCCTGCAGTACCCTAGTCGGCCTTCAACTTGAGATAATCAATGAGAGGGGGCAGCACTGAGCTAGCCTGAAATGTCGCTACCTGGAGTAGCTCAAAACGTAATGAGACGCTTCCAATAATAATATTAGTCTTCAACCTATTCTAATACAATAAAAATATTAAATTTCAAATGATTATTTGATTATGATATTCAATATAAATACTATAGCTCACATTGCCATGGTTCTTCCTGAGAAAGATGAGCTCCTCCCTCACGGCCTCGATCTCACTCTCCACGTTCATCCTGCCCATGTTGGTGTCATCGATGACCTTCTTCAGCCCGGCAATGTCCGCCTCCACTGACTGGCGAATTCCATACTCAGATTCAAACCTGTGGGCATAGGGAGACTGTCACTAAACTCCTTGTTGACATAAAATAGCTGGAAATTGTGACCTTTGACTATAAGGTTTGATCTGATCAAAGCATTGTTCTGAGATATTGAGCATCAAAGTTTTCACATCCCAGATCTCGGAACTGTTTTGTAGTGAATTCTTCTTTCATAACCCATTAAGGTCCTCACCTTAAAGGTATAGAAATCCTAAATCAGTTTTTAGGGGGGTGCAATAGCAGATAGAACATTATGGCTCTGACATGTCAATCTGGGTTCAGCCATAAGGCTCTATCTGACACTTCTGAATTAGACATGTTCAGTTTTTAAGAAAACTGTAGCTATTTGAATACATAAATGATAGAATAACACAATTTAACCAAGATAGCATGGGCGAAATTGCCACGGGATATGGGGGGACATGTCCCCCCAATTTTCAGAACAGGGCTTCCCGATAGCGATGGAACTTAGGCTTACGAGTGTTTTAATGATGCATCTTTCTTACAGAGGCCAAATATGTAACATGCGTTTCCCAAAACACCACACAGAGAGAACAGTCGCTAAGTGCGTCATTGGAGCATGTGTCGATACTGGTAGGATCGAAAGAAAGGGAGAACTGCTCTCGGATCAGCTTTCTCCATTCAAATCTTGCCTTAGCATTAGAATTATTTCACAATACTGACAACAGATCAGCTCCTAGAGAGATATTACCACCTACGGCTGCAAATATTGAGGCGTCTCATTCTAATGCTTACCCAATAAAAATGTACTAAATCACAGATTTGGCACATCATTGCGCACGTGTTAGGCTACACATCATGAAATATATTGAGACAAATTACAGATAGTAGCATACAAGTAGAAAAATAGAACTCAATTGATTAACCTCTACGGGATCGGTGTCCGGTATACGGGACGGTTGAGCTAACGTGCGCTAATGTGATTAGCATGACTGTTGTAAGTAACAGCAAACTTTCCAGGACATAGACATGTCTTATATAGGCAGAAAGCTTAAATTCTTGTTAATCTTACTGCACTGTCCAATTTACAGTAGTTATTACAGTGAACAAATACCATGCTATTGTTTGAGGAGAGTGCACAACAGCAATAAACTTAGCACGGCAACTGGGTTGATACATTCACCTCTGAAGGTAAATAATGTACTTACATTCAGTAATCTTGCTCTGATTTGTCATCCTAAGGGTCCCAGAGATTAAATGTAGCATAGTTTTGTTTGATAAAATCCATGTTTATATTCAAATGTAGGAACTGGGTTCTACAGTTTGAACCCCTGCTGTCTCTGGCTCCACACCCACCCCGCCCGGCCATCTAGATGTGTGAAAGTTAGTGTATAAGCTAATGATCCATCAGTATGAAAATGTATGCACTCACTAACTGTAAATCGCTATGGATAAGAGCGTCTGCTAAATGACTAAAATGTAAATGTAAATGTATGACATTCCTGGGAGTGTGTAAACTTACGTTTTGTATTACCATATCATTTTTGTATGTTCTCTATAGTTATGTACTTTAAAATGTATCAATTGACCAATTCGGCACGTTTGGGCAGACTTTATACAAAATAGTCCGGTATTGCAACGCTTCACTGGATATATCTGAAACTTTGCACACACACTGCTGCCATCTAACGGCCAAAACCTAAATAGCGCCTAAACTGCAATATTATATTGTGGCCTTTCTCTTGCGTTTCAAAGATTATGTATTATCTTTTACCAGATCCAATGTGTTATATTCTCCTACATTAATTTCAAATTTCCACAAACTTCTAAGTGTTTCCTTTCAAATGGTATCAAGAATATTCACATCCTTGATTCAGGTCCTGAGCTACAGGTAGTTAGATTTGGGTATGTAATTTTATGCGAAAATTGAAAAAAAGGGTCAGATCCTTAATAGGTTAAACATGAAATGTATTTCAATATGATTGAAATAGGCCTATAGCCTACTGTTTATATTTTAATGCAGTCATCTTGGTATTCATTTGAAGCATGTTTTTATACGTCACTTGTTTGTATCAATTGTATAGACATTGGAAACTTTGTATTTGTAGTCAACTTTGTTCTGAAGTTATCAGCGGTCACAGAGAGAAATAAAAAACATGTGATTCTATGTTTAGCGGAGATCTTCTGTGTATAAAGTGACATGGGAAGGCAAAAAAGCATCTAACGATGCATTTAGGTGTTCAATGAGTGGTGGCGTTAGATTACGAGTGTTTTCAAGTGCAATGTTAATAACAACAGCTCAGAGATTTAACAATGCTCCTACGAAGGTTCCAACCACGGCCGGCCCGCTCATCTGTTTGACAAGGGCGGCATTTTCTGAGCTAAACTGAGCAAGACGCACCTCCAACAACACAAAAACCTCACATAATTCTGGCCAAAAACAATGACAATTTCTATCGACCAGTGGCATATGGGCTTTTTAGGTGAGCGCTGATGCCGCCCTGTGATACGCAGTGCCCACTTTGTCCATTCCCAGCGCGTTTCTCCAGGGTTCTGTTGGAGAGACGCATCGCTGCGGCGCTCCACCAATGTTCTGTCAAAATAATCATCCAACATAAATCATATGTAGATATAGCATATGTAGGAAAGAGTATGTGGTCTTTTCTGTAGCCTACAGGCTGGAGATAAAATGTCATGTTAACAAACAACATATCCTACTAACAGGACAGGTCAAAGTAAAATGGATAATATGGAATGGACCGGACGTCTTTTTGTGGTGTTTTACAAACGGTAGGCTTACCACATAGATGGGCATTCATAAAATTCAATTTCAGGCAACACTGTAGGCACCTCATCAAGCACGGAATGACACTGACGCTTTTTGGACGTCTTGTTTTGGTGCAGTCCGGTCCGGCCTTGATTTACACATCCACGGAATTTCTATTGATTGGACATGATTTGGAAAGGTACATACCTGTCTATATAAGGTCCCACAGTTGACAGTGCATGTCAGAGCAAAAACCAAGCCATGAGGTCGAAGGAATTGTCCGTAGAGCTCAGAGACAGGATTGTGTCAAGGCACAGATCTGGGGAACGGTACCAAAACATTTCTGCAGCATTGAAGGTCCCCAAGAACACAGTGGCCTCCATCATTCTTAAATAGAAGAAGGTTGGAACCACCAAGACTCTTCCTAGAGCTGGCCGCTCGGCCAAACTGAGCAATCGGTGGGAGAAGGGCCTTGGTCAGGGAGGTGACCAAAACCCGATGGTCACTCTGACAGAGCTCCAGAGTTCCTCTGTGGAGATGGGAGAACCTTCCAGAAGGACAACCATCTCTGCAGCACCACCAATCAGGCCTTTATGGTAGAGTCGCCAGACGGAAGCCACTCCTCAGTAAAAGGCACATGACAGCCTGCTTGGAGTTTGCCAAAAGGCTCTCAGACCATGAGGAACAAGATTCTCTGGTCTGATGAAACCAAGATTGAACTATTTGGCCTAAATGCCAAGCGTCACGTCTGGAGGAAACCAGGCACCGCTCATCACCTGGCCAATACCATCCCTACGGTGAAGCATGGTGGTGACAGCATCATGCTGTGGGGATGTTTTTCAGCGGCAGGGACTGGGAGACTAGTTAGGATTGAGGAAAAGATGAACGGAGCAAAGTACAGAGAGATCCTTGATGAAAACCTGCTCCAGAGCACTCAGGACCTCAGACAGGTGCGAAAGTCACCTTCCAACAGGGCAACGACCCTAAGCACACAGCCAAGACTATGCAGGAGTGGCTTCGGGACAAGTCTCTGAATGTCCTTGAGTGGCCCAGCCAGAGCCCGGACTTGAACCTGATCTAACATCTCTGGAGAGACCTGAAAATAGCTGTGCAACGACGCTCCCCATCCAACCTGACAGAGCTTGAGAGGATCTGCAGAGAAGAATGGGAGAAACCGTGACATGACTCTGAGAAAAAGAGGACCCACAAACGTAAAAACAGGAAAATGGGTTCCAGCTCCAGGGCTGAGTCTGTTCTCAGTTTTCATTGTTAAAAGAGTCATCTACGGCTTACCAGTGTGCAGAAATATGTCATTCACAGCGCTAAACTCACTTTACTCGGAAGTCATCTGCAGCTAACCAGTGTGCAGAAAGATGTAATTTATAGTGGTAAACTCACTTTACTTTGAAGTCATCTGCAGCTAAGCGGGCATTATCGATTTGGAGCAGAAGGCTAGCATTGTCCACTGTCGCATCGAAGACCTATTGGAGAAAAATATTGTTAATTCCAATGAATATATGACAATAACAGACTCAATCTTTTCTGAAACTATTTTGGAGGACAATTTTGCAGGTGACATGAGCATTATGATGCTTTACTTAACTTAACTTAACTTAACTTTTGAATCCATGTCAGTTATAGAGGAAAGCTGTAGGCCTGTTTGTTTTCCCCCACTTCTTAATTCTAACTATAATTGTGTGTGTCATACACAGTTGAGCTGGCAATACAAAAGAAGAACTAATATGTTCCATCACGGGATCTGCTTCCCATCACCACCATTTTAAATCTAAGACTCTCAGGGGGGAGATATTGAAACTGCAGGTTGAGTGAATCACAAATGAATCTATGGTTACCGTGACATGACTCTAAGAAAAAGAGGAACCACAAACGTAAAAACAGGAAAATGGGTTCCCGCTCCAGGGCTGAGTCTGTTCTCAGTTTTCATTGTTAAAAGAAAAGGGCGGGGCTTCCTGTCCCCCCACAAAACCATAAAGAGAGTTCTTTCCCCCCCACCACAATCTGTGTGTTTGTAACCATGGCATTCTGGTGTGAATCACACAAAAAATTAAACTCTTGTTGCTTTATGTGTCCGGCAAGTGGAACAAGGCTAGCATTCATCATAAAAGTGCCATCATAAGCTATAGAGGGCCTATGAATTCTTTTGGACAAAAGTCTGTTTTTGCTGGGAATTCGTGATATCTTGTTGGAATTCTTACAGAGATCTTTGACTGTGCTGTGTGGAGCTATAATGGTTATACAACCAGCACACCCACCATGTGTTTCAAATCTCACAGGGGATTATTTTTGTGTGTTGTCACACCACATCTGGTTCACATTGCTGGTCCTTCCCACACTACACTACACTATGCCCCAGAGTAACCTGGGAGAGTGACCCAGTGGGTTGGAAACGATTTTGGAACATTGTTTATGGGTTTTGGTCAGTTTTTTTTTATGATGATTCACTGCTTCCACCAAATTATTCATTTGAGGAACTTTTTGACCAGTTTGAGGAGTGAGGGAACTAGGGAAGGAGGGGGAAGGTAAGGGGATACCAGCTCCACCCAGCCCCACCCTGCCCCACCCTCTATTCAGTTGTTAGGAAATGTTATAAGCCAGTTGTTCCAAAGCAGGGTTTCCCACAGAATTGTTGAAGTAAAGGCAGAAAGAGTGAGAAGCAATGTATAAATGGGCAAATACAGAATTGTCCCTTTGCTTAAATTCATTCTTGGAGGGCCATCTCTCATACCATATGGGTTTTAATTCACAGAAAAGTTGCAACAGTGGTGACATTACATGGATATTTAGATTTATAGGTTAATCAAATCAAGGATTATCTATGAACACACTTATCTAAAGCAACAAAAGACAACAAAACCACAAATTCCTCACCTTAACCCTTTTTTCTACACACATTATCCTTTATCAACAGCCCCCCTCTCTCGCTCTCTCTCTCCCTCTCTCTCTCCCTCTCTCTCTCTCCCTCTCTCTCTCTCCCTCTCTCTCTTTGTCACTATCACTCTTGTAATAATACTGTATGATTATTTGTTTGAATGTGATACGACTCATCAAGACACCCCATATTGCACCTCTCACTATCTCCCCCCCCCCCCCCCTCTTTTTCTCATTCACACCCCCACCTTCTTGCGCAGGTCGTCCAGTATAGGGCTGTACTTGCTGTAGTCGCGGACGTCTGGTCCTCCCTTCTCCAGGGCCTCTAGGATCTTCATCTCCAGCTGTCCGTTGGCCTGCTCCAGGTTCCTCACCGTCTCCAGGTAGTTGGCCAGACGGTCGTTCAGGTTCTGCATGGCCCCCTTCTCATTTCCCATGACGTGACCACCACCGCCACCACCTGCCGCCGCTGTCTTCATCAGACCACCCATGCCCAAACCCATAGCGGCACCCATGCCACCACCCATGCCCATACCACCGCCGCTCACCTTAAAGGAGGATGTGGAGTAGGAGGAGGAGCCGGCCGGGGCACCGCTGCGGAGGCCCCCGTAGGCAGTGGAGGAGATGCGAGTGCCCTGGCCTCCGGCCCCTCCATAGGTGCTGGCGGCCCGGTAGGAGGACACGGGCGTGGAGCGTTGGAAAGAGGTGTGGCTGCTGGACGGTCTGTAACTCATGACTGCTGATGGAGTACTTAGAAATAATGGAGAAGAGAGAGATAGAGCGAGAGGAGCTGAGATACAGAGAGAGTGACACGGGTAGAATGAACCGGAGAACTAATACTCCCCCTACACAACTCCTCTCTCTCTTTCACAGGCCGGCCTACATCCACACCCCCCATTCTCTCTTTCTTACTCTCCTCCCTCTTCTCTCATGCTGTCATTCACTCTGTTCCTTATTTTCCCTATTTTTGAAAAATCTTACCAAAAATGACTTTCTACTGTGACAGTCCAGCTTACAACTTCATCACACTGTAAAACATTTTATTTTTTTTACAAATGGGAAAAATGAAGAATTGAAAAATTGAGAAAAGAACCAAACATGACATTCTTCTGGTTTTGCCCATAAAAGGCATATTTGGAACGGTTGCTGCATAGTTTCTACATACGTGGTCAGCCAAACCCCAAAATAACTGGATATGGCCACATTTCTCAGCAGGGCTAAACTAAACTGGCTTACACAAGGATATATGGCTGTTGCAAACTATGCTCAGAAACAAACACATCAATTAAAAAGTTACTGTGCTAAACACATTCTATTTGCTGTAGTTAACTTCTAGCCTGTTCACCTATCTGTTTGTGCTATCATGTGAACTCCTTGTCATGCCAAACATGTTTCTCCTTAGGCGGGTTCATCAAGGTTTCTGTTTGCAGCGAACATGTTGCCAGAGTAACAATTTCAGTTGAACGATTTCAATGAACAATCCAAAATATTATGGTGAAACATCAAACAGCTACTTTTTGTAAGGATTACTGTGGCTTTTTAGCAACAATATTCAAACTGAAAATGACTTGGCTATTCATAATAAATATAGTATAAATCTACATGGCCACTTGATTATTTTAGCATCAGTTTAGACCCGAAACAAAACAAATGGAATAGACTATACAAGGTGTCGAAAGTGTTCCACAGGGATGCTGGCCCATGTTGACTCCAATGCTTCCCACAGTTGTATCAAGTTGTCTGGATGTCCTTTGGGTGGTGGACCATTCTTGATACACACAGGAAACTGTTGAGCATGAAATACCCAGCAGCGTTGCAGTTCTTGACACAAACCGGTGCACCTGGCACCTACTACCATACCCCGTTCAAAGGCACTTCAATATTTTGTCTTGCCCATTCACCCTCTGAATGGCACACATACACAATCCATGTCTCAATTGTCTCAAGGTTTAAAAATCCTTCTTTAACCTGTCTCCTCCCATTTATCTACACTGATTGAAGTGGATTTAACAAGTGACATCAATAAGGGATCATAGATTTCATCTGGATTCACCTGGTCAGTCTATGTCATGGAAAGAGCAGGTGTCCTTAATGTTTTTTATACTCAGTGTAGTATAGTCATGTATTGAAAGACCCCATAGCCCATATTAAACAGTCAACACCCAAACTTCAAACACACCTACAAGATTTATAGGTTAATCAAATTGGGTGTTCACAAAGACTTTGGTAAGCTGATACCACAGTGTCTCTGTCTCTCTGTCTTCAGGGATAGGATTGGGGGAGGGAAGGAATGCTCTTCAGTCACCTTTCAGTGATAGAATATCGGACACTATTTTCACAAAATTCTTCAGCTGAGTAGTTAATATCTTCAAGTTGATACCTTGAAGTAGATATCTGCAGATAGCTGTGACATCTTGAATGGTATCTTTTAGTGGAGTTTGTATCTCATTGATGAGCAGGAGTGTTGATTGTGTCACCCGAAAGGTAATAAGGTCACACAGACAGACAGAGCCATTGAGTTTTAATCCAGTGCACAACAAACTCATCAATATCCATTGTTCTTAAGAAAACATACTAGAATAGGACTGTGAGTGGAAACATTACCTCTCAAAAGTCAGAAATAACATATAATTAAATACATTATTGATTAATAAGAACGCAGTATGTAAGATTTTACTCTGACTCTCACCACTTTTAGTCTTACAATAAACAAGCAACTTCATAGCCTCAAATTATGTTCATAAGGAATGTTATGCCTTCTTAGGCCCTGCAATAAACTAGCATCCTGTCTAGGGGGTGTACTTGTATATCAAGCTGCCTCACGCTACAGAAATATGGGCCGTTCTGGCTTGGACAAGGCTACTTACTTTTTAAAACTTACAACAGATACTGTATCTTAGACATTATAACATGAAGGGCTGGTTGTGTGTGGAAATGTAACGGAACACTCCGAAATAAAACCTCTGCCCTTAAGTAGATGGTCTCAAATTTAATAGGTGGTGGTGTTTATAGCAGTGGAAAATAGCAGGTTCCCAACCACTCTCTCTGACGAGACTACTGTATGCCCTGGCTAGGGCGGATTCACAAAATGGACCCCAGAGGACAAAATAACAAAACACACAGTACCCACGGGACGTTGGCTTAAGCTCATACACTTCCATTGTTTTCTTTATACTGTCACTCTACCTCACCTTTTGGTTGATTAAGTTTCAAAGCTTCCACCTCTACATCAGAACAGCTCTCATATAATACAGTACTTATCAATGTTTGGTCATATCATATATCAAAGAGTTTATACCACAGTGATTTAGAATGGTTTAATGGTCGAGGAAGAGAAACTTCTCAATGGAATCAGAGTGACTCATCTTTCTACTTCTAGGCCATTTCGAAATGTTTAAAATGACAGTCCACTTCGAAATCAAAGTTTGTCAGATGTTTTCAACTCCTTCCATTCATTATGCAAATCAGATGCACTTCTGAAAGTGCTACCTGGAAATCCACTCAATTGATTGTATACTGGCCATAAGTCTAGCTTTAAATTCAATGGAGTGTGCGTTTAGCTAATGAGAAGACTGAAGTCAGAAACTAAAATAAACAACAACTGAAATGGCTGCAGAAGGCTGCAAAAAAGGACAATACAAGAGTTTGGTGATGCCAATGGGTTGCATGTTCGATGCAATTATTATGGCATGGGACATATAACCAAATACTTCATTTTTATTTACTTGAAGTGCTCAATATATAAGTGCACACATTGTGGTTTTTGTGCAGTTGCCATTTTTTGAACGGTCAAATAAACAGAATGGTTTGGGATACTGCAAACCTACTATTACTTCGTACACAACAGATGGCGTCATTTGTGGACTCAACATTTGATATCTTTTGAAGTCTGAAAACATTGGACCTACTTTGATTTCGGAGGGCAATATCACTTTAAACTGCTGCATGTGCAGTAGCTCTGGAGACCCTCAGACCAGGGAGGCCAAGGAGGAGAGGGAAAGAGAGAGAAAAAGAGAGGGGGAAATGGAGACTCTGGGAATCTGAGAAACTCAACAGGAGCTTATTTGCTTCATGGGTTCTGGACAACCATCAGAGAATGAAAGCTCCCGGCTTGATCGTTCTTGGATCAACTTGAACTTCTTTATTCTTATTTTTTACTCACTTTCTACTCTGTTACCCCTGAGCTCGGGAATGCTTACCCAGCTAAAACAATTATACTGCTACAATGTTAGGTAACACTTTATTTGGATAGTCCATCTGTAGACGCTCTACAGACTATCTACAGACTATCTGTAATATTTCAACTAACTATCTACTAACCCTAACCCTCCCTCTAACCCTAACCTTAACCGTAACCTTAGGAAACAGTTGCTTATCAACATATAGCCAACGGTACATATTCAATCCCATGACAACTAGTTGTGCAACGTCTGAGAAAAGGAAAGAGGAAAAGGGGAGGGTGGATCTTGATCTCTTTATAGTTAATTCCCCTTATGGATCATTTGATAATGATATGGTTAAAGCATTGTATGACTGCTTAAAGGGTCTGGGAAATAAAGTGTCAGACAAAGATTAGCGCATTTTCTATGCTTTTAAAACAGCTTCCAACAAAAATATATAATTGCCACGTTAATCAGAGCCTTCGTCAAGAATTAAAGGAATACCACCCTGGTAATACATTTTGAAACAAAACCCATGCCCTGTTCAATAGGACCAATGAATGTTGAACATGATTTTCTGTATTTACCCACTCAACCGTTTAACTTGATAGGTAGAGACTTGGCATCCCGGTGAACAGAAGTTATCTGGTATCCCGGTGAACAGAAGCTATCATGTTTGTTTGTTTGTTTGTTTTTCAACCTTAAAATAGGGGTAAAAGCATAAAATTGTTTGAGAGTGATCCGTGTGTATTAGCAGTAATATATATGCCATTTAGCAGACGCTTTTATCCAAAGCGACTTACAGTCATGCGTGCATACATTTTACGTATGGGTGGTCCCAGGAATCGAACCTACTATCCTGGCGTAACAAGCATCATGCTCTACCAACTGACATGACAACAAATGTCAACAACTACATGACAACAAATGCATGAACACTTACAGAAAATGCATTGTCAGCCCAATGGCCTGCTTAATTAATACGCTCCCTTTTAACATGCACACGTAGAGTGAGTATTGGTAAAGTGGGACACTTTCTGAAAATGTGCTTTCACCTTACAAAATCATCAAATTGTCTTAATTGTATTATTATCATAATTATTAATATCATCATACTTGATTATAATTATATGGTGCATATGTAATTGTATAGCCTATAAACAAAATAAAAAGAACTATATCTAAACACATCAGGTCAACATTCTCAACGCTACACTCTAGTGGACATTTTGTAGAATGCAACCAGAAAGACCCCTCACCCTTCCATTTCAATGACTGTTTAATTGTCACCAGACAATACAGCTAAATAAACTTTTTTTTTGTCATACACAGTACCTGTATGGTTATAAATATAGCTAGCTAGGGTTAATGTTGGTGAGGTAATATCCTTCTAAGTACACTCAACAAAAATATAAACCCAACATGTAAAGTGTTGGTCCCACATTTCATTACATTTTAGTCATTTAGCACACGCTCTTATCCAGAGCGACTTACAGTTAGTGAGTGCATACATTTTCATACTGGCCCCCCATGGGAAACGAACCCACAACCCTGGCGTTGCAAGCACCATGCTCTACCAACTGAGCTACAGGGGATCTCTATTTCATTAGCTGAAATAAAAAATCCCAGAAATGTCTATACACACAAAAGCTTATTTCTCTCAAATGTTGTGCACAAATGTGTTTACACCCCTGTTAGTGAGCATTTCTCCTTTGCCA